GAAATTAATACCAGTTTGATTGAACTCTATTTATAATAACCCTGTGCTTTCTTACATCCAGCTACTCTTCTATCAAATGAGCAAACTGATCCCCCATACCTAGATATAATTTTGTCTAAACATACCTTTTACAATAATAAGCCTTTAAACCTAAAAGTATGAAATCTGAAATGATATTAGTAAAAATCACATAAACTACCAATTCCAGATTTTAATGATAAAAATGAGCAAAATCTTATCAATATGAAACTCCAGATATTGTTATGAATTCATTACTCCGGGATTTAATAATGATATAATAAACATATGAATATATATAAAATACTTTTGTATTCTGATATTCCTTTTCTTTGTTATACATACATTTCTAAAAAACAAACATCTGTAATATAATGATGGCCAAGTACTAAGTCTATTATTCACAAAAATTTTACTTGTGTTTTAAGCTTAGACAGCATTTATAGGAATACATGCCTAAGATGTCTGAATAGATTGTAGAATATACCCAGTTTGAATTAAAAAAATACTTATATTATACAACCAATTAACCTGAGATTATTATCTGCAAGTTAAAATCTTCCACAATGGTCTACATGACCAAACATAGTAAGCTATTACAAAACTTGATCTCTGAATTATAAAGTATGTCTATATTCACAGGAATTTGATTTCAAAGTTTTAGACCTGAGCAGCATTTAATGGAATGTAAGCTTTAGCTATCTGAATGTAAGATTTAACTATCTGAATCTTAACTATGCTCAGCATAGATTTTAAAGAAAGGCTTAAAGGATATTAAGCCTTGTAGACAATTAAAACCATAATTGCTAGGCCTAAGTCTAGTATTACCAAACAAATACAATTTTACCATTTAAGTATATTAAACCAACGTGAATATTTATAAGAAATTAATGTGAGTATTAATCCAAGTCCTAAATATCACAAAAAATTTAAAACTTAGCTTTCACAAACATTTTCACTCCTACCAATAAAACAATCCTTAAAAAAAACTGACAAATAACTCGGAACAAAATTTTGCAAAAACACTATAACAATCACACACTTATGTTAATACACAATTTCTTTATATGAAAAGTTTAATAATAACCATTTCTTACTTTGGCACGGTCTGTAGGTTCAAAATCACGTTCTGAAGAATTCAAAGTTAACCCTGGGTATTCTCTAGAAACCACACATAGAAATTCTGCATGGTCATCATTGCCATAGTTGTAGGAGGATCCAATGTTTATTAGCTGAAAAACAAAAACAAAACCTTTGATACCTACTTTATAGGAAATAAGTTTCACAAGTCCATTAGCTGAGTAGCTGTCTAGTCAATTAGTGTTAAGAGTACAAATCTGTTCTTACATTTCTTAGTTTTCCTAAAAATAGATAGAAATTTACAAGGTTGGTTCTAAGAACCATACAAATCTCACTGTTTAGGTTTTTCTAAAGTGTTAACATGACTGAAACATCATGGTTAAATATGACTTAATGCCCCTTTTACTAGCTGGATGATGCAAGTGTATCTGTGCATCTTGTTCAATTAAAATCTCTTGTTTAATAATATACGATTCTTTTTTGGAAGCTTTAAATATATTATGATTTTAGAATTATTTAAAAAAAAACTGTATTCTCAAAAATAAAAGTGAATTAAAAGACCCATTTTATTATTACTTCACATTTTCAATGAGATTTATGGTCAAACTTAGCTTTTATAAATGCATTTTTTTGTATTTACGAAAAATTCAGTTATTGTTTATAGTATTACCACCTCTCTATATGTCTATATAATTACTTTTTAGAAAACTGATCAGACTGTGTTGTTGTTTTTAAACTTATCATGCAAAAACCATCTACATTACTAAAGCATCTTATACCTATTAAAGGTTTAAATAGTACTAGTTCTTTTAATCACGTTACCTGTTCAAATCTCCATCCATCAGACATTGTGGATACCATTTGTGTAAGTTCATCTTCATGACACTGAAGAACTCTATATACATGCTTATTAGAATCCTAGAGAGAGACAGCAGACTTGACAATAAGGCTACACGCATAATTGTAATTTACAATGTCAAAAATGTTCTTACATCCTCATAAGATGTATTCTATTTTCAAATTTGTGTTGAACATTAACATAACAGACAGTTACTTGCATTCATGATGTCCAAAAATATTAATAAAAACGAGGGTACCCAAATGATGAATTAATATACTCTAATTCTTATAGGTTTTACAATATAGCATACTCCTAGTTAGGCTGCTATATTATCTACATTACTCACAAGGTTAAATTTCATATGTTATCTAAGTCGGTAGCTTGCTTTGATTAAAAGTTACTGATAATGACAGGCTTATAGTAGAACAGTACAACATAAAAATGTTTTCAAATTCATACTTAAACCTTGTTTATATTTCTGATAAAAGAAAAATCACACTAGACTGCAAATGTTTTATCCGAATTCTTCTTATTTATGCCATTTCAGATTTCAAATCAATGGCATGTGAAATAGAAATCTGCAATGGACAAATTAAGAGGAATGTTAAAAACTATCTGCACACTAATGTGATTTTTATCACGAATATTAAGTCTATTTCTTACTGCTTTATCACATTTCGGCATTTAACATCTTAACATTACACCTTGTTTGTTACATTGTTACAATCCATTAAGCTTAAAGTCAACCAAAGAGTGGAATCATCTTTTCTTAATCTCCTTCACAATTTTGATTTACTAATTAGTTGACTGGAAAAGTAATTGTACAAAAGTAGTTATGTCCATCAATAAAAAAGCTAAAATGTTTTAACAATAATGTTAAAAAATCCTGTTTTTTTTTCTAAACCTTCATAAAACCTGTATTATTAAATATCTCTTAACTATTTTGAACAATTACAATCTTTACCTTTGTCAGACTTGCATTTCTTTCCTGTATTCTGTTTTTGACAAGTTTGATTAAATCTGTGATGTTATAGAATTCAGCTTCCTCTAGAACCCCTACAAAAGAATTTTGTGTAAATACAAAAGTTTCAAACTTCACTCCTACAACATTCAAGTACAAAACTAAACTGGGAATCATGAGGTAGAGCAGAGTGGGCAGCAGCCGGACCAACATTTTGTCACAGTAACTGTACGGCTTTTTAGACTTTAACTTGCACTACAAAAATTGTTTCTAGGTAAATAGATAGACTTATAGTAGTATGTATGGATCAGTATAACAATGCATAATAAATTACATGTGTAATCTGAAAGTGTACATGCTTATAGCTATAGTAGCGAGTGCCAGTAAGCACCTATTTTTGTGAACCATAAAGAAGTGCTTGTAAATGATTAATAATTTCAATAAATTCTAGTAAAATTAGCACAAAATTCAATCTCAGAGCACCCTAGCACTGGCATGCTGAGTTGCCCGACCAATCATCAATTGCTTCATCCACCACTGGAAAACACATTCTTTTTCATCCAAGAACTGAAATATCCTCTGTATCTTAAATCTCATCTCTAATCATTTACATGTGCAGTAAACATCAAACAATGCTCAGTATCTGATAGTTACAATGCCACTATTAAAAACACTGTTTTTAATGAATACATACTTTATAAGATTTAAAAGCGAGTCAAAACAACAACTAAATCAAACTTTCTAGGTGGATATGCTGAGTATTAATTTCAAAAAAAATTATATATGTTATGTTTTATTTGGTAACTATAGTATGTTTAAGGCAGTCATCTTAAAATGTTTTCCCCAAAACAATTTTCAAAATATAAACAAAATGCCACAATTTTTTTTTTTATATCCTGTCAAAATTTTTAAAACAAAATTATTAAAAATTAACTTTGTGAGGTATGACATAACAATTTTAGAATGACAATAATTTTGTTTTTCTTACCTTCCTCTGCAAGACCTTTGTCAATGACTAGCTTTCCATGTCGCATGTAATTCAGAACAGGCCCAAAATAACTTGGATCTCTATCAATAAGGTAAGCACCTGTATCATCCTAAGTTAAAAAATAATTGATCTTTAATATCTTTAAAAAATTAACTTAAATCAAATTATCAAAGTTTAAAGAAAAAATGAATACAAGTTAACTTTAGAATCCAACAAGGTTTCGTATAAACCCATTTTAGGACACGTGGTAGATTTTGGTACATGTTTGAAAAAACCATGATAAAACAAATAAATGTTTTCAAATATTTGGAAAATAAAAACAACAGTTGAGCAGCTGAAATTCCTAAAAAAGGATATAATTTATGAATGAATGACAGCTAACCAGACACACAAAATAAAACATGAAGTTAGAACAGTGAATACTCAGTTGTATTAAAGTTGAAAAATAGGGCAAATGGTTTTACTCAATGAAAGTCAGGTCTCAAATAAGACATGTCCTACATGTTTTTGTGGACATCCTTCACAGGTTATAAAGGAATATCACTGAGAAGACAACATGAATGTTCATGGTAATGTTGAGTTACAGAAACACATGAACTTGTTTCATTCCCAAACTTATAGAAATTTCTGAATGTACACTTAATATACCTGATAACTCAAAATAACAATTGATGTTCATGTTCAAAGGTATAAAGTGACACTAAACCTTATATATTAGGTTTCATCATTGTTTGGACAATAATTTCAAAGAATGTTCTGATATACTATTTCTTCTACTTATCTTTGACTTCAATCAAAAGATTATCTCTATACCCTCTTACTGCTTAAAAGAAACAAGTAACAAAAGTTACTGTCAAAACAAGATTTGGAAGAAACAATTTTCTTTGAAACAGTTGAGACAGTATATATCCATTACTTACAGGAGTCAATCATGAGGAACGTATGAAAGTTAAAGTATTAAGATCCACTGCCATATTGAAAAGCTTCCAAGAACAGTTTTGTATGCTACAAAAAGAGATGTAGTTTACTTCAATAAGTTTGAGCTCCTCAAAAGAACATTGTCAGACCGTGAGACATATGTTTTTTTAGTGTGAAGGGATGCCTTATACACAGTCATACATTTGGTGTTACAATCTGTATATCTTGAGAGAGAGAAACAGCCATGCTGAATCACATTAATGGCAAATCCAAAATATATACACATGCAAACACAGAAAATATTTGTGTCTGTTAATGAGCAGTCAACATTAGCAGTGACCTCTGAACTACATAACTTGTAATATGTGGTAGTTCTGACCTCCTAAAATGAATTACTCTCAGAAATGTGGTGTCAAGGGTAATACAAAATAAACACAGTTGTTTTCTTCACAAATAATCACAGCCAATGTTTATTATTAATAATTAAAAGAATGAGCAGATAATCTTGGGAACCATTTTTCTAATACAAAATAAAGTCCACATTTGATTTTTACTTGCATGTGTACTAAGTAAGAAAGTAGCAAAACAATAAAAAATATATGCCAGTTTAGAGACTGCCTTAGTCTTTCCAACAAAAGTGAAACATCAAGAAACTACAGGTTTTTCCTCCCTTGCTTCCAATATTAATGTCATCAGGCACTATTATTTACTTGAACAAATAATTTATAAGAAGAATTCAAGACCATTTGAAGGTACACAAAACAATAATCAAAATTTCAGAAGTTCTGTTGAAAAATATTTTGTCAGGCCATGTGTGTTAATATATTTAATATGCCTTATTGTGCAATCATCCATCTGCTAGGAAAATAGTTTTACTTAGTAACTGACAGGAATTTTCACTCTGCCTGACTAATACCCATTATTATCAGAGTTCCTCTTGTTAATACAAGTCACCCAGTACTGGTTTTTATTGTCAAAAGAATTAAATCATCTAAAAAACAATATTAATTTGATTATGTTTTACAATTGGCTCTTTCAGTGAAAGAATAGAAAGATGCTGATAATTATAATTTATCAAATAGATCATGACTATCTCACAGTCTAAGAAATTATTTGAACTTCATTGTCCCACAGTTAAAGTTTAAATTAATACCAAGTGAGATCACACAGCACAAGTTCTTATGGTGTTTGGCAGAATATGCATGTGATAACAATATTAAATATTTATGTTCACCCATAAATAGACAATACTTATTTTAGCAAATCATACTGTACCGAGATGTCCTACTAAATTTATGTAATTAATTCCTTAAGCTGCAATTATTATGAGTTTCTTACTGTATTCTTTTCAAAACATATCACACATGATCAATTTATTACTATAATACACATATCCATGTAGATGCCTGTAAGTTATAGACATGCTAGATATGATTTTTACTGCAGAATTATGGTAATGTCAGGTTTACAGATCCAACACACCTAATAGCACCAAACTAACAATATTATCAGTGTATAACGATGATGAAATAAATTTAATCATATAAACACCATACTAATTGAACTGGTATGTACCATGATGCATGTTGGTACAGTAAGCAACTGCTTGTAATGAGTTAAATGTTAAAGTAAATTTAAGGCACAGAACAAGTACACTGATTTCATGGTGGACAACATCCTTCAGTTATTAGCACAATTTTTAGCTCATTATATACAAGAAATATTATCACTGCAAGACTGAAAATTATTTCAGCCATGTTAATCTTTCTTGGCTCAATACAGGTTTCCAGTATGAAGAGTGTATGACGGTATTTTTACTATACCTTATTTATTGCATAACCTGCCCATAGAGCCTTCAAGTTTCATTCAATACTCATTAAGGTCATGGTATCTGGGTTAACATATGGACAACAAGGATCCTTCAACAGTTCAAGGCTGTCATTGCACAGACACTCTTGAGGGGAATAAATTTTATGCCCACCTATCATGCAATTTTTAAACATTATTTACACACTGTTATCAATAACTTACAACTACATGGCATAACTTTTTATGATATTGGGTGAGAAAAATATTAATCCAATTAATATTTAATAAATAATTTATTATCACTGACGATATCTGAGTCACTATGAGTATAGTATGATGTAATATCACACTTCATTTATATTATTAGTAGTTATAAACACAGATTATATATACACATGACACCATAATTTACATTTAAAAGTTGATCCATTCTCTAAAATTTTAGTACCTTCGGATTTAAAGTATTTTATTATTTGTGTTTCTTCAGCTCTCTCCTTTAAATTGCATATAAATTTCAGTATGTTGCAATAATTTTTTTTAATGCAAAACCTTTAGTGATTCGATTCCCTATATATACTATAGTATATTCTGCCTTTGTCTCATTACTTTATTAGGCGAACTTACCTTATCAGAATGAAGATCTGGGTCCTCCTGGCAAAGTCGATATAAAAACGACTTCGGATCTCTACATAAAGTAGTTTTCGTAGTCAAAAAGTAAGTACCTCCCACATTAAGTTTTACCCACTGATTGTTCCGTGAAATTTTAGAATTTGTGCTGTTGGAACTTGAATCTTCGTCTTGATTCCCACCCTGCATCGTACTACTAATGGTACTATTCACATGTCTGGTGGCCATAATTGTGTACTAATTTCCTTGAAACCAAACACGATCCAGTCTGACTGCCAGTACATTGAGTACAAAAAGATATTCAAGAATAACGTTTAGAAGGAAATTTTAGTAAAAGATGGGCAATAAATTTTAATACTTTTCCTTGTAGACATTAAATTTTAAAATAATAAAAAAAGCAGATAAAGCTAACTTGATAAATTACCAATTACCTCAGGTTATAAATAATTAAAATAATTTATTATTTTGGTGTTTGATAGTGATCTTCTCGCATAAATAAACAAAATTGTGTTGTTATTTTTAAATGAAATTATTTAACGTTTCTTCATATTTGGTATATTAACGTAAAAATAAACCAATTAACATTGTTTGGATGAAACAATTTTTGATATATATTGTCATTACAGGCACCTAGCTAGTCTATTTACAGATTCAACGACAAAGTTTAATTTTTAAATTAGGGTAATTTAGTGATATGAACCCTATTTTGGCTTATGATAAAATCAAACACTATATATTCTAAACAGAGGTAAACTTACGGACTTACAACGCTAAAATCCGAGGTTCGATTCCCGGCGATGGACACAGCAGATAGCTCAATGTGGATTTGCTCTAAAACAAACAAACAAACAAACAATCTAAAC